ATCCATTTTCAGTTAAAACATTCATTTCATCAAGCATTGTTGACCACCACGTAGAATGGGATAGAGATTACCAAATAGATCTTGGAACACAATAGAGTCAAGAGAAGCAACAAACGAGTAAGAAGTGGAATATAATTGATTATAGTTAACACTGGAGGAATTGTGATAGGCGCATTGACACTTACTTCTTCGGAGAGAAATAGGTAAATTAAGGTCACTAGGAGAAGGATCCACTAAGAAAGATGGTATTGTCACCGGACTAGGATCATGGGAACGAGGTATTCTCGAGTAAACATTAGTGATAAGTGGTTTAAGTTGAGGTGCAGGAGGTAGAGCTGAAACAGGATCTGAACTTATGATGTGATACATTAAGCACGCATCAAGATTTTGTGATAATTTAAGCAACAATTAGTCACCAAAGAATGGGGTTTATTAATTAAATGTGGACAATAGCTGAAATCAAGATAATTTGAATACCATTGTCTAAAAATAATTGTATATTTACATGCCCAATGGTTTTGTGTTCATATTACCAAGGACACCATAGAAGGAGGTGGCAAGCATCCACTAGAATGACGATTGGTTCAGTTGTTGCACCATGCAAAGAGATGTTTTGATCCCATTTTTACTGTCGTTCTACCTTCAAAGCAAGGTTCACATCCCAGAGTGAACAATAAGGTTGAAGCTGAACTACATTGGCTGTAGAAGGCCTTAAACCACCAAAAAATCGTACAGTAGTGTGTTCGTCAGGTTTGGACAGATTACATTTCAATCTGAGATGCTCAAATTCAGCAACATATTTATCTACCATCATCTGTTGTTGATATAAATGATGAAGGTGAATGATAACCTCTTGCGTATAGTATCTAGCAAGAATTTGCATTGCAATTCTTTTATCTTACTTCACGTATTAATCTTAGATCACCCCTCTCTTTGCCTTGTCAGCGTCAAGTTTTCGCCCCAAAGAAAATCATTCTTCCTCAAATTGATAGCAACAATTTTTACAATTTGATCTTGGGGCGCCTCTTTGAACTTGGCACTTCTTTTGATGGTGTGCAACGAGTTAATAAACTCGTTCAGGTATATCGAAATTAGGAATACATCAACAACAACAACAACCACAAAACATTTATCCCACTAAGTGGGGTTGCCTACATGAATCCTTTTTCTCCATTGCGTCCTATTTAGTGTCATATTTTCACTTATTTCTAATAAATTAAGATCATTTTATACAATATGCCCAAGTCTTCCTAGGTCTACCTCTGCCTTTCTTATCATAATTCGAATCTAAAACATCTACTCTTCTAATCGGATCATCAGATAGTCGAAGTTTAATGTGACCAAACCATCTAAGACGGCTCTCTCTAATTTTGTCCGTCACAATAGCAACACCAACCCTATCACGGATGTCTTCATTTTGCATTTTGTCTCTAAGTGTAAAGCCACTCATTCACCTAATCACTCTCATCTCGGTGACATTTCACTTAGTTCTATGCTTCTCTTTTAAAGGCCAACATTCAACGCCATAGAGCATTGCAGGTCTCGGTCTCACCACCATTTCATAAAATTTTCTTTTCAGCCTAAGCGGTACTTTTCTATCACACAATAGGCCCGAAACATTCCTTTGAAATCAGGAATATCGATCTAAATTACATGATCAATAGTTTTGTGTTATCTATCCTTCCTACATACATACGAAGGGCTTGCTCATGTTCACTCGAAGAAGCTTGGTGAAAAGCATTTTTCATCCCCATCTTTGTCCACTACCTCACAATCGTGTGCTACTGAATGTTTCTTCATACTTTTCTTCTCCAAGGCTGAAACTCTCTCTTTCATTCGCTGCATTTCATGCAAAAGATCCTCTGTGGACACTTCTTGATTGATTCTTGGTATGTCTTGCGTGGAGGCATGATTAAGAGTAGAAAGAACCGCATACAAAGGCAGAGATAGAAATTGTACTAACTTAAAGTTATAAGAAAATAAAATAAATAGACAAATTAGAAAATTTTATTAATACGGTCCGACCATTTGTTATCTTCTTGGTTGATTCTAAGCTCCAGGTTGGGTCGTGAAAAGAGTGATATTAGAACATGGTTTAAATATTAATTAATGCAATATTAATCATAAAAAAAAATATAAAAGTTACAAGAAATTTTTGTAATAATAAAATTGAAAATTTAAGTTTACACTAATTAAGTAATTAGTTTAATTCAGTAAAATGGATCCGCTCGAGATTCAAAAAGAGGGAATGTGGTAGAATATGAAGAAGCACCACCTGCTATAAATATGAATACAAATTTTCTGACCTATATGACGATGACCATGACTTAGCTTATTCAAAAGTCCTGATTACATTCTAGTGGGGGCACGACTATTATTGTGGATAAGTACTTAAAAATAATTCAAGATCTATGTCCATCTTTGTTTATAGAAATTGAATACCCAGTTGAAGCGGAGAACTAGTTCATGTAAATTGAGAAGATATTAGGTAGCATAGCATTCCCTGATGAAAGAAGAGTATTGTTAGCCACATGTATGTTGTATGGAGAAGCGAAAGATGGTGGCATGGGCAGCGTCAGGATAGACTCGGGAATGTATTTAACATGATGGTAACTTAGGAGGATTTTGTGTAGCTTTTCAAAGTGTAGTTTGTACCTCTATCTCCTCGAAGACAGATGCTTGACAAATTCATTAAGTTGGTGCAAGAAGAAATTTCAGTTATGCAGAATGAAGCAAAGTTCACTGCACTGTCAGGATATGCCTAACAGCTAATAGCTACTTCAGAAGATAAATGATACAATTTTATTTTCAGATTGAAGGATTCGATCAGTCAGCCGTTGGTGCTATTGAGGATTGATGATTATTTCGGTGTTAGTTGGGTGAGCTAGAAGAGGAGAGATTATTATCAACTCACTAAGAAGTGTAAAGATATGCACATGAGGAAGAGTATTGATGAGGGAGAGCATGTGAACTAATTAGAGGGATCCAACAAGATGAAATTCTAGTTCAATTCTGATAGATTCAGCTGTGGCACTTCTCGAAGTACCGTAGTTACTTGTAGTAAGTGTGGAAAATAGCATAAAAGTGAATGTTTGATAAGCTCTCATACATGCTACTGGTGTCTCCAGCCTAGTCATATAGCTAGCTCTTGCCCATCACTTATACAAAAAGCCTCAGAAGAATAGAAACCAAGCAGAGCTCCTCAAAAGACTCCGAGCAAGCATAGCAAGATATAGTCTGCAACTTCAGTTCTTACTCAAGTTCAACTCTGTTTGACATCAAGTTTACTCCCACTCCCTTACTAGTGGAGAAGTCTGAAGAACCTATAGTCAATGTTGATGCTACTAGGGATTGATGAGTATCATATGTTATAGGAGTATTATTCTAGTGTATTTTTTTTTTCCAGTGGGTTGTGCTGTTGTTACGTAATTTGCTTTAAATGTGTGTTTTCAAGTTTTAATTACTGGGGAAATTTAGTTTTTTTGTACTAGACCTTTATTTTATTTGGTCCACTTCCTATCTTAAAAATGAGATATAGACTTTCGAATGAAAGTTTATGAACAGTTCATTTTTTTCTTGCAATTATTTGAGCCTTGGAGTAGATTATGCAAATTTTGAGGATAAATTTTTTATGAGAGATTTTAATAACAGTAAGTTATAAATAAATAATATAATTATTTAAAAAAATACATAAATTAATAAAATAAAAATTTTGATTAATATTGTTCGACCGTCTGTTTCTGTTGCTTGATTCCAAGCCCCGAGTCGGATCGAGACAAAAGAAAATGCGAGCAACCGGACCTAAGGTAAATTTATAATCGCTTTAATTAAATATCTAGTGGCTCTTTCATTAACTTTTTTTCAATCATTAATAATGACAGAATAAAAATAGATAATTTGATTAATATTGTCAAACTGTCTGTTCCCGTTTTCGTTGATTTCAAACGCTAGGTCTGATCGTTACAGAAATCTAGACAGTAGAGAAACCCATGGTGGGGACAGATGAAACCCATTGCGTGGAGTTCAAGCATGGTGGAATGGAAACGGGAGGTAAGCACATAATAAGTTTTACTGTCTTAGTTCTCTCTCTGGAGAGATTCCTGGAGTGTAGGTTGCAAACCCAGGTCTATTCACCAAGCTTATGGGAAGGCCTTCAAGAGTCCAGACATCCTTATGAGAAGGAGCGGCAATTGAAGTTGCGGAGAAGAAAAGAAACAATGGAATGCATACGAACTATAAGGAAGAGGAGAAATGCGCAAAAACTTGAAGACGAAAGAGAAGAAATGCACAAGAACTTTGGTTTAATACCAAATGAAGCCGCTGCAGTGAGAATAAGTTGTTGAAACCCAACAAAAAGAAATTTGCAGGAGAAACCAATCAACAAAACAGAGAAAAAACAAGCGGAAACAATGCACTTCAGAATTTCTTAGAAAAGAATAAGAGACAATGGCATAATCATCATTTGAGAGCCACCTCAAGATCTAGTCGCAAGGGAAGCAAAGCCAACCTTCAGGAAAAAACCAGTAAACGCTCTAAAAGAGCTGACTCCTTTTACACAAACAGCTTTTATTTATAAAGGCAAGACTCTTCTAATTACAAGTAATCGTCAAAATTGAAAAAAGAACAAAACAGAGAACAAACGCGTAAAAATGGAACTTAAACGTAACATGGACAGCAATAGTGTTGACGCTTCCGCGTCGGGGTGACTGTTGACTGTTGCCCTCCAACAACTTTTATCCCATTATTACTGTCTTACTAGTATGAAATTTGGACAAAAGGATTCAAGTTCTCAATGTAAATATACATGGCGTATACATCCTTTTAGTTTGTTTTGATATTTTTAATTATGCTTCTAGGCATGCATAAATGGAATATTCTAGCTGCATTTTTTTTTTTCCTTTTTGGTATGAGTAGTTCCCTTTCTATTTATTTCCATATAACATCTTTTGTTAGTTGACTATTTTAAGTTTCAATTTACATATTGCTATCTTTATTGGCAGCATTGAAAAAACTTATTAATTCTGGTGCTTCCTACCTGGTTTTGGATCTTAGAGATAATCTTGGTGGCCTTGTCCAGGTTTGTAATTTTATGACGTTCTTTTCATTGTACGTCATCTTGTGGAAATAAGTATTCTTATGCTCCCACACTGCTCTGCTTCATGCTTCTACACTGATTCGATATTTTCTTTGTAATTCAATTTTACAACTCTAGTCTTAAAGCTTTAGACAAATATAAGTACATGGATATCATTCTCTTGATAAGGTACGTGATAGGGCTTCCAAATATAAATTATTCGCATATTGATTCTGAGTTAGGAGTATGAAAGCTTAGACATCATAAACCATTTGAAAAATCGCGAGCTTTTTAACATCTACAATATAGCTCTTGGTATTTTTTTTTTATTTTTTGTCTTGCTTCGGTTGATGCCTCCTTTTAGTTTTTTAAAACTTGATTAGCTTGAAATCTGTTGTAGGATGTTTTAGCATCTGGAGTTCTTAATGTAGCTCTAATGTAATATATGCAAAATCCTGCACAAAATATGAAAAATTCACATGACACTATTAAATACAAACAATTAATTAACATTAATGAAAAATTAAAGCATGTCGGACCTTTGATTTCAATTAAAAATTAACAACTAAAATAAGGGTTATGGAAGCTACACATACTTACATGAATTGGAGAAAAACTATTTAGTATTTCAATTCAGCATGTGTTATATTTATACAATTTTAAGAAAATTTTTAATAGAAAATATATAGTATTAGAAATAATAATTATACAGTAATTATATTATTTTAAGGATTGATGAGTAGGCAATAGGGACACTCTGATCAATGATGTGGCGATAAAGAAAGATGACAGGAAGTTTTGGTGAGTTTGAGTCTTATTTAGAAAAAATTATATAGGTATTTCATGTCATGACCTGACTCAGGGTTAGAATTAACCAAGACAGGAATACGGATAGTTGGACTGTAAAAATAAATCATCTGTTATTCTATTTCTATCGCTAACGGTTAAATATTTAAATATATATGAAAAGTCACTAAAGAGATCAATTTATTTTACGAATAGAAGTTTCTACCTTTCAGGTTGTTCTCGTCTCCTGTATACATTAGATCCTCTTCTATTTCATTTTATTTAAAAGTTTAAAACAAAAAAAAAATTAAAATAACATAATGAGTTATGTAAATATAACTCAGGAGTAATCACATTTCTAAACTACAATAACCCAAGGAAAAAAAATAATATGTATACTAGTCTTTCATATTTCTATAAAAAATTTTATAATATGCTGGTCTTTCCTATTTATATAGGAAATCTTATATTATGCTAATACATGTGCCAATGACCGTACTCACAGACAAATATTTTAAACTTCAATATGTATTTATTTTAACTTTACTTTCACATTAAATTCTTAATAGACACATTTGTCTGTTTGAGGATCACTATCAGAACAGCCTAATGCACTTCTGACCGATATTTTTCCATTGGCACAACTATTAGTGATATAAACATCACAACTGTCTGAAGTGAAAATGTCCTCACTTGCCCTTGGCTAATATTATCTCGTCAGCAAAACAACTAGCATTTTAAACATCGCAATTATTTGTGGTGCTAAGCTCTGTCTATTCACCTCTAGACGATATTCTCCCGTCGGCATAGTGGTTAGTGATCATATCACAATTGTCTGGGGTGGTAGAAGAATAACTGAGCTTGCGGGTATACTGACGTTCCCTGCCTGTACCATTAGAGGGTGAACTCCTCTTAACGTGCACATACAAGTATTTGTAAATTAGTTATTTTATTTTTCATAACATACATTCTTCTGAGGCATTTTCATTCATTACTGACATGCATATTTACTCTAATGTGCATTTATCATGCATATTTTTTTTATCATACTTATCTTGCATATCATGTAGATCATATATATCATGCATTTCATACATATTTTTCATGCATATCTTGAATAAATATTTATTCTATCATGTATATTTTTCCTGTCTAATAATATGAATAAGCTATTGTAATTTAAATCTAATTGAGTTAGAGCATACATGGGAGTTTCTTGACTTATTAAACTCTTTAATATTATTTTAAAAACTAAAAAGATGCTTGAGGAGTGGAGTATAAGTATTTTGGTCTCCATTTTTAAGAATAAAGGGGATGCATAAGAGTGTGCAAATTATAGAGGATTTAAGTTGATGTGGCATACTTTAAAGTTATGGGAGAGGGTAATTGAACATAGGTTAAGACACATTACAAAGATTTCTCATAATCAATTTGGATTTATGCCGG